TTAAACGATGGGATAGCCCCGGCTCTACCTTGTGCTTGTCGTGGAGGGAGGTGGGCAGACACAGGTTGCATTTAGAGCAGTGGAAGAAGTTCTCCCTTGGGCCGATCCTGCAAGAGAGACACGCACGGTAACGCTGGGAGGGGCGCACGTCCAGGTCCGGAGAGGATTCTAGCACCCAATGCCAGAAGCCGAGAAACTGCGGCAAAACTCCCAGAACCCGAGATCGGATGGGAGCACAGTAGGACAATGTACACTTGTAGAGGGCATTGCAGAACATATATTGTTGTAATGCACTATGCACCAACGTCTATGCTCCCCACCTCCACCAACCTGAATTGATAACACCAGTGTAACTTGGCAGTGCCTTAAGGAAGCTTCAACTCAAGAGACAAATATCTCTTTCTCCGGTGCATACACACCAAGTGTACGTGTATCCTGGGATGTCTGACATGAGTGGGATAATGTTCCGTTTCTACGTCCAACGTTATTGTCCAACCCAGCAGGATTTCTTTTAACAGGCCATACCCTGCCCATGACACGTGCAAAGAAAAAAGAACGGGTTTCTCAGTGTCACATCATGAGATGAAGTGTCCCTTTGGATTCTCTCGCAGAGCAGTACAACCCTCAGTGTTAGAGAATGGCACAGTGAAGTGGATATCACAGAGCTACTTCTGACGTCCCTTCACGTATCCTCTGGTATACTTTGCCTGACACGTGGACGGTGCTTGTGCACCACTCATTGCAGCAGCCAAATCACCGAACAATGTTTCATTCTGGAACACACAGTAGGCGGCAGCACTTCCCCACGCGCCCTGCCGCCACTTGGACTCATGCTCGTCACGTGACTAGAAAACCGCTATAGCTCATTCGTAAGAGCTGGAATTTTGCCAACTTGAATGCAGAAAGCAATTGTTAAGTCACTCGAGTCCAGGCTGAGGACCCGGTTTAATCACAAGCGGCTGCCTGCATTTGAACCCAGGATCTCAGCGACGCGAGCTCACCCCTCTGACTTCTGCGCCACCCAACCACCTCGGATATTCACATTGTTTCATGTTTTTGGTGGTGACCCTGATCTTCTTAGTTATTATTTTGAAATTATATAAGCCTGCAAGCCGGTGGTAAAGACCCACATCTTTAAACTTGCTTCATGCTGGATATGCGGATATATTTCAATACTTGTTACATTTTTGGTTTTTAAACTTCATCATTTGGGTGCAAGCACTTTTAAATCACCTTGGCAAATGCGAGAAGAAACCGGAGGCGTCCGGCAAGTTTGAAACTGGGGGACAAGGGCGGAGGTGCGAGCATCTCACCTGCAGATTCCGCAAGAGGAGCAGTGGTACTGCTGCTTGTCGCGGTCGTACAGGTGGCAGATGTCGCAGTAGTACTCGCCAAACACGACGCCGCACTGCGTGCACGTCCTGCCCACCTGCACACCGTCAGGTACGCGCCACGTGGACATCGGGACCCACATAGAACTACACACCACGTGTACACCACGTGTACACCAGGACCCGCATAGAACTACACACCACGTGTACACCACGTGTACACCAGGACCCGCATAGAACTACACACCACGTGTACACCACGTGTACACCAGGACCCATCTAGAACTACCGGCATCCCTCCACAACCGTGGAATGTGTCACATGTCGCAGGTGTGCTGGAGGGCCCAGGTGCACACCTGCCCGACTGTATGTGACGTCAGTGTATTTTTATGCTAAAACACAGCACATTCGCACATGAGGGAACACAGGTGGTGTAACTGTCAGTCATCTCAGTCGGTCAACCCAAAACACCTAGGTCTGTCCTGTTACCTCCTGCCATAGAACCTTTGAGATTTCACGTGGCCTCAGTGTGCACCTAGCCTGGCACTAGTGCCGTGGTGTTGTCACAGCCACTTAGTGGCAAATGTTGTTGTTTGGGTACGGGGAGTGGTTGTGGCGTGGTTAGTGCACTTACGAACCCGGCGACTCAAGTTCGATTCCCGCTCATGACCAATAACAGCGGCGAGTATTTCAAGCGGTTCTAGGCCTACCCGAGGTCGACTCGCCCTTAAGTGAGTACCTGCCATGGTTTTGGAGAAACAAGAGGTGGCTGGGCATGGTTTTGGCCACCTACCCTAACCTTCATAGGTGCTCGCTAACAGCACTTACCCCAAGAGTAGTCCATTAAAGGCTACACGGGGGATCTCTATGTTTGGTGAACACATGGGCCAAAGTATGCCTGAACCCAGGTGTGTATTTGCTCAGCTGTGTGTGAGTGAGCATAGAGACCGAGGCATGAACATGGCCCAGGTGAGTACCTGTGTGTGCACAGGTGTGTGTGTGTGTGTCCACGCTCTGAAGGTGTGTACACACCTGCTGGACGGAGCTGCAGCTCGAGCAGCGCACAGTGGTCACCTGGAAGCGGTCCATGGCGTGGTCCTCCTTGTCATCGTGACACAGGCGGCACGGGTAGAAGACATTGCAGCATGGGGCCTGCGTACACACACACAAAGATACCCCCTATAGCCCTAGCAGACTCTTGGGGCCTGCGTACACAAACACAAAGATACCCCCTATAGCCTTAGCAGACTCTTGGGGCCTACGTACACACACACAAAGATACCCCCTATAGCCGTAGCAGACTCTTGGGGCCTACGTACACACACACAAAGATACCCCTATAGCCTGAGCAGACTCTTGGGGCCTGCGAACACAAACACAAAGATACCCCCTATAGCCTGAGCAGACTCTCAGGGCAAGTGCTGTTGGAAGCCGCCTATCAAGCCCGGCACGGCACATGAGGGGGTAGGAGGCCAACAACACACCCGGTCGCCTTTGTCTCCCAAGTGGCACTATTTACACACTGCACCAGGTACTCGTTTAAGGCCGAGTCGACCTAGGGGAGGCCCAGCACTGGTTCATATAATTGTCACTGGTGTGTGCTGTGAGCAGGAATCAAACTTGAGTTGCCTGGTTTGTAGCGCAGCGTGCTCGCCACTGCGCCACCGCTCACACACACCAACAGGGGGACTACTCCCACCTGGAACTTCAACCTCGGAGATGAACTGCCTGATGTTTAAAGGCAAGGGCACTCTCTGTTAGAAAGACAAATACTTCGTTTTAGCACAAGATGCACTGTACGCAAAGTAACCTACAGTTCACGGGCATTGGGATTTAAACAAGGCGCGGACTGCTGGCGAGGCCTCTGAGTGTCTACACTGGCCCACAGGGTGCGTGTCTGTAACCTAAGCTGCTGAAAAGATGCCATCCCAGAAGAACGTGTGGCTGATGTGACGTGTCAATATGAAATATAAAGTTGTTTTTGTTACATGGAGGGGCAGATGCGGGATGCAGGCGTTTTATCTGCCGATATATCAGAAAGCCACAAGCCCGCACTTTTCCGATTAGTGTCAAATGAAGGTTACGTGATGACTGTGGAAATACGTTTCCTTACCGTGTCATGTCAAGCATCACAGTAATAATGTCGTAATGTGCAGCGAACACACGTCTCTCATTAAGTGTTCCTGGAGTATCGCAGAGTTCCACTATTGCTGTTTGCACCTGACAAATTAACATTGTAGCTCGTACACATTTGCAGTCGTGTATACTCTCTATGCGGGTGTCACTGAAGAGCACACCTCGCCCGCCGCGCGATTAGCACGATTGGCTACGTACGGTGCGAACGAAGTTCAACACACACCACACATGCGTCTAGCTATAAAGTTGCCCTGCTCATCCACACGAATCACGCCACTCGCACCCGCCTCCTCGTCCTGCCAACTGCACTTGGAGCCACAAGGCCACGTGCCCCTCTAATCAAAGCCATAAACATTTTATATTCACTTTGATTAACAGCCAGTGACTGGTAGCATACACAAATAAACACATTGAAGATTTTAACCTCAACCTACGTTGTCGTAAATTACAAACTAAAGGAAAACGCTTCGAGGAGGAATATTTAGCCAATATACTGACGCTCTCACACGACAGCCAAGAAGTGATGACGTCACTCGTGCCAGGCTAGGTGCTCCGATCTTCACACGAACACGACACGTGCACGCACTGGGTGAATGAGGGCCTCCCTACCCCCTCACAGCGTGAGGGGTCCCATGTGGGGTGGGTGGGTAGGTTTCACCATACTTCACCACGCTGGTCCATGTGGGTGTGTAGGGTTAACCATACTTCACCACGCTGGTCCATGTGGGTGGGTAGGATTCACCATACTTCACCACGCTGGTCCATGTGGGTGTGTAGGATTCACCATACTTCACCACGCTGGTCCATGTGGTGGGTAGGATTCACCATACTTCACCACGCTGGTCCATGTGGGTGTGTAGGATTCACCATACTTCACCACGCTGGTCCATGTGGGTGTGTAGGATTCACCATACTTCACCACGCTGGTCCATGTGGGTGGGTAGGATTCACCATACTTCACCACGCTGGTCCATGTGGGTGGGTAGGATTCACCATACTTCACCACGCTGGTCCATGTGGGTGGGTAGGATTCACCATACTTCACCACGCTGGTCCATGTGGTGGGTAGGCTTCACCATACTTCACCACGCTGGTCCATGTGGTGTGTAGGATTCACCATACTTCACCACGCTGGTCCATGTGGGTGTGTAGGATTCACCATACTTCACCACGCTGGTCCCTGTGGGAGGGTAGGCTTCACCATACTTCACCACGCAGGCCACGCGGCCGCGACTCCTCTGCGCTTTAACGTCCGATCGCAATCGACTCCGTGTACGACTTTTAACACCGCGCGAATTCGCCGAACAACCATTGCCAAATGGTTCAATTGTAATTCCTCCAAGCCTAAAAATGTTGGTCCGAAGGCCGCACGCAGAGCGACGTCGGAGATTAGCGGGAACGGGGGTGGGGGGGGGGGTCCCAGTGGTCTCCCCGGGGGCACCGGGGCCCCGCCGGGGGTTGGGAGGCCACCGGGCCGCTACCTGCAGCTCGCAGCCGCGCTGGTAGTGGCGGCACTGGCCCGCGCTGCGCGCCATGCCCACCGCGGCCCCGTCTCCACGTGCACCGGGAGGCGCCTCCTTCCTCGGCCTCGCCTGGAAGGGACGCGGAGATGGGGGCCGCCTGCCCGGGCAGCCCGGGCAGCCCGGCCCGGAGCGCCCCCTGGCGACCGGGTCGTGCTACTGAGTAGCGACTCTCAATGATTACACTGCGTTGTTATTCTACTCCGTTCTCGCGGACCATGACGGCGATTGATCGCAATGCGTGCAGGAGCTGAATGTCAATGTCGAGGTCTACGAGCCCCGGGGCCACAGCGGGTTGCTGGATGGTCCGTAGTTTGTGTTGCATGGCCACAATCGCACTGCTGTGGCTCGTCTTTAATCTATATCTGCGTATCTATGGGTATCACGATATGTTTTGAGTCTCTACGGGTCTCTGTGTATCACCATGAGTCTATGTGCATGTATATCGATGGGTTGCGGTATTGTCCGTAGTTTGTGTTGCATGGCCACAATCGCACTGCCGTGGCTCCTGTCTTTCATTTTCAACTTATGAAGAAGTTGCTGCGGTTCTGATGCGGATGACGGTTCCGTTAACAGTGTGTAGCAGGAGGAATGGCAAAGCGAGGAGGCGCGATGATGACAGTGCTTGCGTCTGGAACGAGGAGTTTATTCTGGAAGTCCGCGCTCTTCCACTCTGTTGGCCAGCAGCGTGAACCCACAGGGTGAGATTCTAGGGTGGTGACAGCAGCAGCAGCGTGAACCCACAGGGTGAGATTCTAGGGTGGTGGCAGCAGCATGAACCCACAGGGTGAGATTCTAGGGTGGCAGCAGCAGCATGAACCCACAGGGTGAGATTCTAGGGTGGTGGCAGCAGCAGCAGCGTGAACCAACAGGGTGAGATTCTAGGGTGGCAGCAGCAGCATGAACCCACAGGGTGAGATTCTAGGGTGGTGACAGCAGCATGAACCCACAGGGTGAGATTCTAGGGTGGCAGCAGCAGCATGAACCCACAGGGTGAGATTCTAGGGTGGCAGCAGCAGCGTGAACCCACAGGGTGAGATTCTAGGGTGGCAGCAGCAGCAGCGTGAACCCACAGGGTGAGATTCTAGGGTGGTGACAGCAGCAGCATGAACCCACAGGGTGAGATTCTAGGGTGGTGACAGCAGCAGCATGAACCCACAGGGTGAGATTCTAGGGTGGTGACAGCAGCAGCATGAACCCACAGGGTGAGATTCTAGGGTGGTGACAGCAGCAGCATGAACCCACAGGGTGAGATTCTAGGGTGGTGACAGCAGCAGCATGAACCCACAGGGTGAGATTCTAGGGTGGTGGCAGCAGCAGCACGAACCCACAGGGTGAGATTCTAGGGTGGTGGCAGCAGCAGCAGCGTGAACCCACAGGGTGAGATTCTAGGGTGGTGGCAGCAGCAGCACGAACCCACAGGGTGAGATTCTAGGGTGGTGGCAGCAGCAGCAGCGTGAACCCACAGGGTGAGATTCTAGGGTGGTGGCAGCAGCAGCGTGAACCCACAGGGTGAGATTCTAGGGTGGTGGCAGCAGCAGCACGAACCCACAGGGTGAGATTCTAGGGTGGTGGCAGCAGCAGCGTGAACCCACAGGGTGAGATTCTAGGGTGGTGGCAGCAGCAGCACGAACCCACAGGGTGAGATTCTAGGGTGGTGGCAGCAGCAGCACGAACCCACAGGGTGAGATTCTAGGGTGGTGGCAGCAGCAGCGTGAACCCACAGGGTGAGATTCTAGGGTGGTGGCAGCAGCAGCACGAACCCACAGGGTGAGATTCTAGGGTGGTGGCAGCAGCAGCGTGAACCCACAGGGTGAGATTCTAGGGTGGTGGCAGCAGCAGCACGAACCCACAGGGTGAGATTCTAGGGTGGTGGCAGCAGCAGCACGAACCCACAGGGTGAGATTCTAGGGTGGTGGCAGCAGCAGCACGAACCCACAGGGTGAGATTCTAGGGTGGTGGCAGCAGCAGCACGAACCCACAGGGTGAGATTCTAGGGTGGTGGCAGCAGCAGCACGAACCCACAGGGTGAGATTCTAGGGTGGTGGCAGCAGCAGCACGAACCCACAGGGTCAGATTCTAGGGTGGTGGCAGCAGCAGCAGCACGGACCCAGAAGGAACAACTCTCCACTCGAGTAGTCGGCGGCGAGGGACATTGTTGAGGTCTTGGTTGACGATGGTTGTAGGCGGTTGTCATTGGCAAGAACGTGTGATCTCCCTTGTCGCGGGTCGCACGATGTCTCTCTCTGGGGTGATTTGGTGGCAGAATGTTCGCCGGAACGGGGGGCCAAGGGGTTGGTGTTCGTTTCAGTGCTCCGAGTGTGATGCGCATCGCGTTATCTGATGGTGCATCTGGCAGTGTTGTGTAGAGATCCGGGGCCGGGCTGGAGCCCAGTGACTCCGAGTGGATCAGCGAGAGGGCGACAGTTCTCAGCACAACAGTGGAGGCGCCGCCGGGTCGTTCCTGCACGCTTCTGCAACAGGACGAGTTTTTTGGAATTGGTCTTTTCTCAGATTTGTTGTTTGCGGCGCTTGAAGGCCATGCGTATATTCACGATGATCTCTCGCATTGCCTAACAGCGAACATAACATCAACTCAACGCATTCGTCAATGACATTCATGAAATTCACGACACGCCGACTACTATCTATTTTCTTTAAAGCCACGCAGTGATATTGACGAATATTGAGTTAACCGTGCTTGTGCACCACTGCCGACGGCGCAGCAGCAGCAGCAGCATCGGCACCACATTCATTGTTTAAATGCCTGAATGTTTGTCACAGACTAAATAATGATACCGATGATGATTCTGTTGCTGCTACCGATGATGATACTAATGATGATTCCGATGATGATGCTACTCCTAAACTATGGTTGATAATGATAATGGTTATGATTCTGTTGTTTGTGTTCCGAATGGTGATGACAACGCTACTTTAGCTGCTGCTGATGCTGCTGCTGATGCTGCTGATGCTGCTGCTGATGCTGCTGCTGATGCTGCTGAGCCCAGCTGGGTGTCCATTCTCAGCTCGGCGAGATCAGAGGCGGCTGAGCGGGGGAAGGGAGGAGGGGAGGGGTGTTGGGGGATTCAAGGTGGGGGGAGGGGTTGGTGGACAGATTTCGGGACGGATCAATGGTGTGTATGTCGAGTCCGTCTTAAAAGAGTGGCTGGTGCGGTGTGTAAACATCGGCACTATGGAGACAAAGGCGGTCGGGCGTGTTGCTGGCAACAGATCCCCCCCCCACCTCGTGTCATCCTAAATAGGTGCTTGCTAACAGCACTTTCCCCAACAGTCTGTTAAGGCTATACGAAGGATAATTTATCTTTGCATGTGTGTGTGTGTATATCCTTATGTGTCTGTAAAAGTTTATACGCGACTACGTGTGCCTATATTGTAAATGTGTGAGAATATGATTGTTAGTTTAACACGGAGGCTTTCGCGACCAATGCTATTTACACGGGCATATGCACCTGCCTGTGTGTGTGGGGAGCGGTGGCGCTGCGGTTAGCACGATGCGCGGCAAACACAGCCTCCTGAATTAGAGTCTCGCCCACAGCAAGCACCAGTGACAATCATCTGAACCGGTCCCGGGCCTGCCTGAGATCGACTCAGCCTCAAATGAGTAGCTGGTGCAATGTGTAAGCATCGCCACTCGGGAAACAAAGACGGCCGGGCGTGGTTCTGGCCACCCACTCCCTGGTGTGCCATGCCGGCCTTCATAGGTGCTACTCGCTAACAGCACTTGCCCCAACAGTCTGTGGAGGCTATATGGGGGATCTTCGTCTTTGCATGTGTGTGGAGCCGCAGGACGGGATGAGCCCCTTATTTATCCGCTCCTTTTGTCGCAGCTATAGCTGTGGGGGCAGCAGCACAATCGGATTAGTGATGTGTGCATCTCCGCAGCGCACGCGTGTGGGGCGACGGGGCAGCGAATGTGGCTGGGGGGAGTTTGGCGGCAGGAGGGTGGGGGGGGGGAGTAAGAGGGGGAGGCGGGGAGGGCGAGAGAAGGAGGGGACACGGTCTTCAGATCTCTCCTTAAACCCCCGGGGGAGCGCGCCCAACGCGTGCCGAACCGCGGGGGGCGGTGGGGGTGGGGGGCTCGGGATGGCAGCAGCAGCAGCAGCAGGAGGAGGAGGAGAGAGGGTCTCAGCCGGATCCTGACAAACATCAAACTTTTTTTTCTCTCCCCCTCCGACAGCGAGCACGTGACGTGCCTCCACTCACTCATCCGCCCCCCACTCACCCACTCGCTCGCTCACTCCTCGTCGACACTCCCACAGCCCCCGATGGAAGCTTTCACACACACCCAGCCCCCCTCACAGCGACCCTCAGCTACCCCCACGCGAGCCCATTCATGGCTGTAAAATGCGCTTCATCTAGCCCCTGTTTCGGTGATTGAATCCTGATCGAATTATCCGACTTCCCGGATTCTTTTGCCCGCGTGGCTGGGGAGGAGGAGGAGGGGGGCACATATGCCGCACGGACCCAGCGCGCCCTTCCTCCACACGTGTACACACACGCGCGTGTACACACACACGCGTGTACACACACACGCGTGTACACACACGCGCGTGTACACACACACGCGTGTACACACACACGCGTGTACTCAGACAAAGATCCCAATCCCCTCCTCCTGTCGTCACGCGATCCCTTAGACTGCCAGGGTGAGTGACACCCACGCACAAAGACAAAGGTCCCCCGCTTCAGCCTTCACAGACTGCTGGGGCAAATGTTGTTAGCGAGTAGCACCTATGAAGGCCGGCACGACCGCCTATGTCTCCGGAGTGGCGATGTTTACACATAATTTAAGGCTGAGTCGACTTAAGGAAACCCAGCACTGGTTCAGATAATCGTCACTGATGCTGACCGTCTGCGGGAATCGACCTCGGGTCGCTGCACTACCGCTCCGGACTATACATATATATACATATATATATACACGCACACACCGTTTAACAACACACAACTGCAGGTGTGCATTACATGCACATAATTTATGCGACACAACCACCAGTTAAGCAAAACTGCACCATGATCATTTTGACGGAGGCTTCGCAACCACCAATACATTGAGACAAAATGCTGCCAACCGACCGGGTAGCAGTGAGACAAAGACACACGACTGGAGACCGGTTTCGTTTATATTAGGATTCATCAGTTATATTACATAATGAACGCTCACCACTGTCACCCGCCTCTTGGAGCCTCGTGTATGGGCGGGAGAAAGATTTTATCTTTGCCCTATGGGGAACCCATCAACACGTGGCGAATGGCGACTATTATTGGGATCTGCATGCAA